AAGGGACTCAAAAGTCTCAAAATAACATGCGGCCGCTATCACGGAAAGTTATCGCTGCCGATTGCCAAAAACATGCTCCCAAATTGAACACGGTTGAAAGCCCTCTCGAACGCGAAACTTGACTTTCTTTCATAGACGGGGGGTGATTGCATAATGAAGGAAACTTTCCAAACTAGGAACCAAAGAACACAAGCGTCTGAACCTTACCCTTTACAATTCCCCATCACCCCACATATTTCTCTCATCACTCAACCTCCTAAAAATACGTTTTTCAAAAGTAAATATTAACTGATCATACCAGTAACCTGGCAACCGTTGAAATTTTCTCCAATCACTGAACTGCCGTGCCCAGGAGATTGTGTCGAACCGGCGACCTTAAGGATTTCAATTCCAGCGCGGTGGCGGCTACGCACGTGGCAGTCTGTAATTCAGCGCTGTGCAGGCAGCGAGGTCTTGGTGGATCACCGCACTGATGTTGTGAAACTCCCTTCTTCCCGTGGGTGAGCGTCAAGGAGGAGGTGCCGCACCCTGGCTCGCCAGGACAGGGCGGTACGGCAAGTGGACTAATCGCCATTTGTTTCCTTCTGTACGGAGGATAGTGTTGTCGCCCCCCTCGCACGCAAGCGTGTTTCCCTCCCCCCCCCCCCCCCCCCCCCCCGGATGCTCAGGTTTCCTCCGATATTGGTGTCACTATCGCGCTTGGCGCCAGCTACTGCCGCAGGAGTGGAAACGTAAGTCGGGAGTCCTCTCTGCCACCAGACCGTAGGTTGACATGGAAGCTGGCCATAGGGGGCCATGGTTCTGGTGAGGGTTGGAGCAGAGCAAATGAGGGACGTGCTGCTCCGTGTGAACCCGCGAGGGCACGTGGTCGAGGCAGGGTAGCGAGGCGGCCGAACGGGGGCTCGAGTGACACGTGACGTGGAGCCGAGCGCCTTCTGGCAAGATCCAGAAGGGGGCGTGGCCGCAGGCGGGGGCGGGGCCGTGCTCGGGGGGTATAAAGGGGAAGCCCCGAGAGAAATCGAGGCTCGCCTGTGGAATTAACCCTCGGTGCTTATGTCTCTACGTCTTCGGTCGGCATCGTGGGGTCAGGCAGCGTGTAGACTGACCAGTTCGTGTAGTTAACCCGCTGCTGACGTGGTTAACTGTGTAACTATCACTTAGCAGGAGAACCAGTGTACGTTTAGTTAGTTACCCTGTTGGGGAGTTGTTGAATAAACGTGTTGCATCCAACTCCAGTGTGTGCCTCCATACATCGCACTACACATGCATTGGCTGAACGCATCTTAAAATAAAAGCCCAACGCCCTATAATAACGAGCAGTGATGCCGCTGTCAGCTCGAAAATAAATAGTATCCGATAAGTGCGGCTCAGATGTTTACAGTGACGGATAGACACGGGATTGTGTGTGGGCTATTTAGCAATGGTCAGCCTAATGTGGTCGTGGCCCATGTGATTATAATAATAATAATAATAATTTACATTTGTAAGGCGCATTTCATCCGTAGATCCCAATGCGTCGACATCATTACGTAAGCATGTCATGGGCTTTCGGTTACAGTTGTGTTTGTAGTAATTTATTACGTGACTAAATTACATATATGAATAAACAATGCCTCCATCGTGAGTTTGTGTGTATTGTTATTACACGTGTTTACCCATGACAGCATGAGTGAGCCTCAAGACTTGTCTTCAGGAAGGTCCTGCCAGGGTTTCACACAGCAGGGGGCAATGTTGCGATGTGCAATTCCAATTAAGGATATTTTCAGATAAAATGTTCTTCCAAAACTAGTTAAGTTGCATGTTGTTTTTGTCAATTGAGGAAACTGGAGATATTAACTACCTCGCCTGGTATACAGGAGGTTGTGGGTTTTATCCCGACTTGACGCCTGTTGTATATTTGGAGTTTGCGTGTCTTTCTCCCCCGTAGTCGAGTGGATTTTTCTCCAGGTGCTCCGGAGTTTCCCTCCGCATTTAAATGTCCACGCGATTACAGGCCACTTCGTTGGGCTATCATTTGTGATCGTCAGGTCGCTTCTGAAAAAGGAATACATAGCTGAGTGGGGCCTTACCTGATAAAATAAAAAAATAGTATTAGTTCACTCTTTGGATTCTTTCGGTAAAGTCACGTAGAAATAAAATCAAATAATAATAGAATACGACGTTTCGGTTGCAACACAAGCAACCATCATCAGGTAAAAATGAATGAAAAAACACAGGCACGGAAACAACACAGGCAGACCAAAGATCCCCCGTGTAGCCTTAACAGACTGTAGGGGCAAGTGCCGTTAGCGAGCACCTATGAAGGCCGGAACGGTACACGAGGGGGTAGGTGGCCAGCACCACGCCCGACCGCCTTTGTCTCCCTAGTGGCGATGTTTACACACCGCACCAGGTACTCATTTGAGGCTGAGTCGACCTAGAGGAGGACCGGTTCAGATAATCGTCACTGGTGTGGGCCGTGAGCGGGAATCAAACCCGGGTCGCCAGGTTTATACCGCTCCACTACTGCTCCCCTAGAGAGACACCCACACAAAGACATACAATCTCTCTCTGCATGTGTGTCTGCCTGTGTTGCTCCCGTGGCTGTGATTTATCATTCATTCTTACCTGATAATGGTTGCTTGTGTTGCAACCGAAACGTCGTATTCTATTATTATTGTTTGATTTTATTTCTACGTGACTTTACCGAAAGAAGCAAAGGGTATTTTCTGCAGTCACGAAAGCTTCGAATCTAGTTTTAGTTTAGCTTTAAAACCACACGGTAAAGTCACGCGATAGGCACGCCTACCAGAAAGGTGCCCGAGTCGGGAATCGAACCGAGACGTTTGTTGTTGTACGGCACACACGTTACGCCTGTCCCACCCTGCCGCACAAGAACCAGCTTTGATTGATTCATCAATACACCGTTACACCCCGACTGTACGCCCAGAACGTGCAGCGGGCATTAGTACAGTCTTACTAATTGAATTATCTGCCCCCAGGGCAATGCGTGTGGGTTTCATTATTAACTGGCGCCTTCGATTAGCGCGGTTGGCTCCGTACGGTGCGAAATAAGTTCAACGCACATACACGCAAGATCCAGTTAACATTTTACCAGAAATACGTTTTCTGTAAGAATGCAATTTTCCGTCCCACCAATCCTGTAACTAAAAATAAAAAAGCGTAAAATCTTTATACGCTCTTAACAACGAAGTAAAGGTTTTGTATTGACAGCTCTCCCAATGGTGCTCACAGTTTGCATTGGGAAAACTTCATTCTTTCGAATGCCAATGCGTTAGCTGATCGACAACGTTTGTCTAATCATGTCGAGCATAGCAAGCAACAGTGGTCGCGTGATAAAGATTTTGACATGCTGCTGGCAAATTGATCAGTGGTGTTACGATGTGGACCCCGGCGGTTCGTGGGAGATTCTAAATATTCCATCTACCCTGTAAAGCATTCTATTGAGGTTCAATAGAGACCTCACTAATGGGTGTCACCTCATGAAATGGACGTTCCGTTTTGGAAATCGCGAGCGGGGCACACTCCACCTTGTGTCAGAGAGCGCCATCTGGAGAAGGCATCACCCAGCGACTTGTGAAAGTCGTGCAAGAATGTGTCAATCAAACGGAACATTTTAATCGTCTGAGCTGCAATGGCACACGACAGAGGGAAGTGGAAATGAATGATGGAATGTGCAGTGGACATCGACGGGGCTATCTGCCCGTAGAGATCGTGATGATGATGAGCTGGAATGAGCAACCTTATCGGGCAAACAACATTAAAGTTGGTGGGTGGTTTTGGTGCGGAGTCATTGGTGACCAAGCTGAGACAATCAATTAACTAACAACTTGAGAACCTGGTTAATCATTAGCGGCTCTATCCCAGATGTGAACCCAGGTCCTCAAAAGTGCAGGCTCAGAATCGCTGACTCTGCATCGTCCCCCCCCCCCGAAGCGAGCCGCTTTGGCCAACTGAAGTACATTTTTTGCCAACAAATATATAAAAATAAGGCGGTGTTCAAACACAGCGTGAAAAAGAAAGTTCGCAGAGTTAATGCAAAACATGTTGAGTTTATCTATCACCAAGTCGCCTCACAACGTAACATAGTAACTCCCAGAGATGGCAAACACAATGCGCACAGAGGAAGGCAATTCACGTTGGTCTGGACACAATGTGGCTGGGTGATTCTGGGGGCTTTTGGTAAAGCACAGACCCTGTCGCCTACATCGCGGACGGTCTAAGTTCAAATCCCGGTCTCATACCCGATGCTAAACCAGGCTTTGGAGGATGAGGGTTAGCACAGAAACATTTGTATAAATTTGATTATGGAGTCACGGTGATTTGGCTAAGCTGATGTCCAAAGGCTTCTGGTGTTCGCGTATGACAGGGATCTTAAAGGATATCGAATAGATGCCTCTCATAATACTCTGAGGATTTGTTCTCACGAGGTGAGAGCTGTGAACAAACATGCCAATTTATTCAAAATAAAGGTTTCTGGGTTAGATCGCGTAAGTACACATGTGTCGTAACTCTCCACCATCTAACTCAGACACCTTTGTTATGGTTAATATTGGTAGCGAAAGCCTATGTGTTAAAATGACAATGCATTACTGCTTTAGCAGCACCGCCGGTGCTGTTGTTGAGCAATCCTCGCAACATTTAACAAAATTTGTACGGGCGTTTCGTTGGAATTTACAACCAGCATCATCAGGCAAGTTGCAAGTTGCCTGATGATGCTGGTTATAAGCAAACTCTGGACACGGTTTTGACGCGTCACTGTCTCCGATGAGCACGGCTGGCTACGCACGGTGCGAAAGAGGTTCAACAGTTCCACTGCTGGATTAAAAAAAAATTTCCACCCGAGGACGGACCGCTTGTGTTGCGATCGAAACGTCGTGATTTATTTTATTTTATACCCACGTGACTTTACCGAAAGAACCAAAGAGTAAGGTTCGGCATGCACACAACAGGTCCCAAACCCATGCCGACGAAGGGTTCGCGTTTATCTCAAGCTAATCCGCAGAGGGCACACCCCGCAACACAAAGCCGATATCTCCACAAGGGGCTGTTAATACCGCCCGGCAAGGGTGCAGAGAGGGCAAAAAAGAAAGAAAAAAAATGTGACTGGGGCATGCGACGAGGAGACCCTTCAGCCGGTTGCTCATTTACCCTCGCGGACTTTGTGCCAGCTCCGTTACGAGCCAAGGCGAGGCGAGAGGCAGGGCAAGGCACAAGCGGCGCTTTGGTTGCAGGGTCCCAAGTCTCCACCATACCATTGCTCTTGACGCGTTGGGCGATTCACAGCACGCGAACTCCAAGAGCCACGCTCCGCAGGGCTCCAGGCGGGTGAGTGGGAGACGTCGCCTGCACGGCGATTTCTCGTGAATTGCCACTTTTGTCGTTGTTCGTCGTTGTTGTTGTCGTTGTTGTTGTTGTTTTACAAGCGGGACTTTATTTTATTTTTCCTAGCACCGCATTGTGTTTTGTCGCTCGTGTACATACGTGCAGAAGACGGCGAAGCGACTCTTTGAGGACTGATTCGCGACGTTATTTGTTAAGGAAACCCACCGCCGTCTCCTATTCACCACCACACAGTGCATTGCGGCTCTTAAAATATTGAGGGTTTTTAAAAACATTTTTGTTTGTTACCACCGGCTCTTCTTGCTGTTTTTTGCTTGCCGACCCGTGATCTTAGCACCAACAAATCATTCATAACCGTTCCCCATAAGCGTCTCTCGCGGTTCAGAAAAAATATTATCTGGCGTTTAACCTTTGGCTCCCACGTCCAACGCACTACTTACTCGATGCTATGGGAGTTAAGTCGTCATTTAAAGTGGAGCTATCCATCTAAGCAGTTTGCTCCCATGTGCATTAGAATATCGTTGCTTTCGAAGAGTAAGTTGAGCGTCGTGTTAATCATTTTGATCGAGCATGTATTTAATTCGCTTAACCCCTTTGTAGACATAAATATGCTGACTCGGCGTAATGGTTTTCAAATCCCCTCCTTGGTAATTGTTGGACTGCGAAGTAGTTTGTTCTGTACTGCATCATTACGATATGCATAGACTACTTCTATTTAGGATGCGGTACGTATTTGCAAATGCATGACTCTCTGTACGCAGCAACATTTTAAAAGGAGACAATTGCTGCCCAAAGTCTCACACACACACACACAAATGCACGATTATCAGCTTTTCTACAAACGAGCCTGAAAAAAAACCGGTGATGTTTTTTTTCTTCTCCCAAGTCTCGACGTTCCGGAACCCACGGCATATCCAGAACACGCCGAAAGTATGCAACGTGAAATGATCTGTGCTCCGGGGAGTGGGTTGGGGTTGGGGTGGGGGGTCTTGCTTGCGAAACGTCGACAGGAGGATGATCTCGTGAATTAAGTCTCGGAGTTTAGATTCTCCAGAAAACGAGTAGAATGGAAACTTCCACCAGGCTTTCGCCGTGCGACCTTTTACTTGCATCGTGGCTTGATCTGGGTGCTGTGGACTGTATGAGCTGGGTGCTGTGGACTGTATGAGCTGGGTGATGTGGACTGTATGAGCTGGGTGATGTGGACTGCATGAGCTGGGTGATGTGGACTGTATGAGCCGGGTGCTGTGGACTGTATGAGCTGGGTGCTGTGGACTGTATGAGCTGGGTGCTGTGGACTGTATGAGCTGGGTGCTGTGGACTGTATGAGCCGGGTGCTGTGGACTGTATGAGCTGGGTGCTGTGGACTGTATGAGCTGGGTGCTGTGGACTGTATGAGCTGGGTGCTGTGGACTGTATGAGCTGGGTGCTGTGGACTGTATGAGCGGGGTGCTGTGGACTGTATGAGCTGGGTGCTGTGGACTGTATGAGCTGGGTGCTGTGGACTGTATGAGCCGGGTGCTGTGGACTGTATGAGCTGGGTGCTGTGGACTGTATGAGCTGGGTGCTGTGGACTGTATGAGCTGGGTGCTGTGGACTGTATGAGCTGGGTGCTGTGGACTGTATGAGCTGGGTGCTGTGGACTGTATGAGCTGGGTGCTGTGGACTGTATGAGCTGGGTGCTGTAGTTGCCACGAGCTGGGTGTGTGCTGTGTGCGTGCCAAGGCAAGGCTGTAAATAAGTGCAATAGTCCAGATACCAGGAGGTATCCACGTAGCAATACGTGTTCCTACATAATTGCCACATGCAGCAGAATAAAGATAAAATAGTAAAAGAGAGGCCACATACCGTAAAGATAAATTTTGAGGTAATAATAAACGTGGAGAAAAAAAACAAATAAAATTAGGTGGTAACAAAGAAGCACGTCGTCGGCGTATATTTTTTTTTCTAACACTGAAAAATATCCAGGAGTGGATTGATCATGGCTGATGGCGACCCTGAAATAACGAATCCAAGTTAAATTGTCTTCCCCGTTTTAATTACAAAAAAAAACGCGACCCCGGTACGCATTCAAAATGTGCATCCCTGCTGGGACGGTGGTGAAAATTCCACATTCACACGGCGAGCGCTATCCATGGCACGACCACTCTTGGACCTTGCAAGGCAGGTGGTACCTGCTGTTTTTTTTTATTTCTTTCAAATGATAAAAATACATAGTAATTAAAACTTACGACTCGCACCGTATTTTCTCACTTTCAAAGTGAGAGGGAGGGAGAACGAATCAAGAGGGAGCAACCAAAGAGGAACGGGAAGGTATCCACGCGTTGAGCCGGCGCTTCTAGCGACTGCCCAAGCTCTGCGTTCCTCGATATACCTGCAATGTGTTGTCGGCCAACGAACGAGCGCTTACATGTAGGGAGGAAATTGGAAAACAAAACCCACGCGTGCGAGGGGGAAACGCTCGAGCACATACAGAGGGATATCCTGTTAATCCCACATTGGAAAATGTTATCAAAGATTGTTGGTAATGATGTATTACTGTAACAGTTTTGTCTGAGACGCCTCCGATTTTCCCGCACCTCCGAGGAGCACGCTTCAATAACATAAATACACAGAGACCCACAGACACCCAAAGCCATATAGAGCCCCGCAGAGACCCACCGATTATCACGGTTGGCTCCGTACGGTGCAAAATAAGTTCTACATACGAACGTACGGAACAGCGGGAATTCCAAATTGCGTCTGTACAGCCTTCTCCTGGAGGGCTAATGGGGTTATCGTTCTCGAGTCGGGGATGAATGACGAGGTTTATCTTTAAACCGGTACTTTTTGAACCCGTTGCGAGTCACTTTAGAGATGTTCAAGCCACCCCACCAGCTGGCCGGATGCATCGTCAAGGAACATTTTTGGAGAGTAGTTTGCATGCTAATGATGGTCTCTGCAGGGTGCTTCAAAAATATGTTAACAATTATAGGAATAGGTTTTACCCTTTTAACTGGCACAAAAGAACTGACACCTTTATTCAAGGCATCATGTTTGCAATAACCACAACACAAGCAGTCAAAATGCAAACAAAAAAACAACTCTGATAATAATATGCACTATCCTTGAATTTGATTGGTCCACACCCGAGACGGCTTTTCTTAGAGCCTAGTTTCCAACAACCAGTTTCCAACACAAGTGGAGACTAGGCTCTAAGAAAAGCCGTCTCGGGTGTGGACCAATCAAATTCAAGGATAGTGCATATTATTATCAGAGTTGTCTTTTTTGTTTGCATTTTGACTGCTTGTGTTGTGGTTATTGCAAACATGATGCCTTGAACAAAGGTGTCAGTTTTGTGCCAGTTAAAAGGGTAAAACCTATTCTTATATCTTGTTTCTGGCAAAAGAGGTCTCATAATGTTAACACTTACATGGGGCTATATTCAGTGCCCGATTTAGCTAGTGCGGGGCCTGTAGCATTATGTTATAAAGGGGCCCTAAATTAGAGAAAAACACGTAAATATCAAAACACACATCTTTAACTTGCATAGTAAAGTAATTGTATTTGCTCATTTACTCTACAGCCAGATAATACGACAAATCGCTAACTTTAAACACCCAGTCGTTCGTAAACGTTGAAGGAAGTATGACGTCACACGATTTTGGACGATTTTTGACCCCCCCCCCCCCTCGTCACACGGCGTCACAAAGAGACAGACCCCCCTCAAATATGACGTCACAAAGCTCTGCCCCTCCCCCCAACCATATTTCCATTTTGAAAATAAAACATGCTTGAAATCGCTTTAAACTATTGTCATTGTAGTGGGTATTTAATGTGGCGCTGCACTCTGATGTTGTAGGAGAAAACATTTATTAAAAAGTCAATTTAATTAAGTAGAACGTGTTGTCTATATTTATGTAAAGTTGCGCATTTTGATGTGACGTCACATTTCTCAACCCCCCCTCCCTCGTCACACATCGTCACAAATGTCTGACCCCCCCCCCCCCCCCAGGTGCGTGGCGTCATTTATGGACGGCCCCTTAGATCGCCAACGTGTAAATGTGTCGTAACCCTTCACGACCCGACAGCCAATTAGTAAGGGATTTGTCACGTAAACAAAACGCCAAATAGCTACTACTTCAGCCCACCGGTGTGTTGGAGAGTAAATCCACAACATTTACAATTTGAGTAGAACGAAGTTTCGCTGGTAACCACATCAACCAGCATCAACGGGCGATTTGCCAGAATAGTGAAGGTCGGTCAGCCGGTGGTTTCGACAAGCAAGCCTTGGTTGCTGGCCGAGCGTGCAGTGGAGTAGAGCGAGATGAGAGTGGGGGAGGTGGGAGAGTAAGGTGGAGAGTTCACCATGGCAGTCCATGGTAAACTGGACTCCCAGGGTAAATTGGACGCCCATGAATTTTGATTTAAAACTTTCGTGACTGCAGGGATTCATATTCATATTCTTGGTTCTTTCCTTTCTACGTGACTTTACCGAAAGAACCAAGAATATGGACGCCCATGGTCAAGGATCGGCAGCCAATATAATAATAGCATTTTTTTTCTTTCTAATTCAGTACAACAAACTCAATATTCAAAGAGGCGCAACGCGGTCCTCGGACACCAATTGAAGGCCAGGACGGCACACGAGCGAGTGGCTAGCCAGACCCACGCCCGGCCGCCTTTGTCTTTCGCAGCGGCGATGTTTACTACACACCGCACCAAGTACACTCATTCGAGGCCGAGTCGACCGAGGGGAGGCCCTAAGGACCGGTTCGGATAATCATCACTGATGTTGACCGTTGAGCGGGAATCGAACCCGTGTCGCCGGGTCGGTAGCGCGACGCGCGGCACGCTACAGCGACGCTGCCGCTCCCCGCTAACCCCCCCGCCTCCGCCGTCTCCACAGACCACCGCTCACGATGACGGTCACAGCAGGAGGAGGCGGTGGCGCCGGTGCGCTGCGCGAGTGCGCGCTCGAGCGCAAGCCGGGCAAGGGCTTCGGCTTCTTCCTGCGCCTCGAGAGCGGCGAGGAGGGCCACCTGATCCGCGAGGTGGCCATGGGCAGCCCGGCGCACGGCGCGGGACTGCAGGACGGTGACCGCGTGATCCGCGTCAACGGCGAGCACGTGGACGGCGGAGACCACGCCAAGGTGAGAAGGACGCGTGGCTCTCGAGCCCCCCCACCCCAACCCTCCGCACCAAAGACAAAGCCCCCCCCCCCCCACGTGTAGCATTTCAGTTTCATTTATTAGGTGTAACCCTGTGAGCCATGCGGCTCTTGACTCGGGTGCAACCGCAACAAACAAAAAAACATGAACAAGAAATATCTTGAAGTGACTACACGCGACAGAAAAATCCAGGAACAAAAACGGCAAAAGTCTTCCAGAAAAAAACACCGTATTTAACAGACTGTTGGGGAGAGTGCCGTAAGCGAGCAGCACCTACGATGGCTCGGCACGGCACACGACGGGGTGGGTGGCCAGCACCACGCCCGTGCCGCCTTTGTCTCTCCCCGGTGGCGATGACCTTTTTTTTTTACACACCGCACCAGGTACTCAGTTTGAGGCCGAGTCGACCTAGGGGAGGCCCAGGATCGGTTCAGATAATCGTCACTGGGTGTTGGCCGTGAGCGGCAATCGAACTGGGGTCGCCGGGTTCGTAGCGCAGCGTAGCGCTAACCGCTACACCACCGCTCCCCACCACCACCACCGCATCACCTTCCGTGCCAGCAAGGATTTACGTATGGATTCTCCCATTGTACCTCCCATTAGCTTTGCTCTGTGCATGCGAGTTTACTCTCGGGCCAAGGCACCTAAGCGGGGTCGGGTGGGTGGGGAAGGGGGGGGGGGTAAATATTAAAAATTGGTTAATCATCTTCTTTGGTTCTTTCGGTAAAGTCACGTAGAATGAGAATAAAATAATAAAATGAAATTCTCACGACGTTTCGGCCACAACACAAGTAGCCGTCCTCAGGTGAAGAAACAGGACCGTCCAGAAGACAGCGCTTGAGTGAACCCTGTCAAGCTTGACAGCGTCTTTTAAGCTGTGTGGGAGGAACAGAGAGCCTGGACAAAGGAACATGTAACTGGGAGATTAGCATTACGGAGAGCGAACGAGCTGGGACTGGAGGAGGGGGGAGGGGAGTTTACATATAAATTAGCATGTAACTGGGGGATCAGCATGATGTTGGTGTGAGGGATTAGCACCACGGCGAACGACGAGCTCGGACCGGGGGACGGGGGGGAGAGGAGTTTGCATCTAAATTAGCATTGGTTAATCATTTACGAGGCGAGTACGGCTATGGGGAGGGGTCACGGGAGTGGCGCAGTGATTAGCGCATTGCCCTATGAACCCCCCCAGCTCACGGCCACGGCTAACATCAAGGTTGGCCCGCGGCTGCTCAACGCTCACTTGGGGGGCTTCCACGGAACATCGCTGTCGCGTGAGCTGGATTTCTCTTTTGGGTTGGTGGCATTCTTCTGACACCCCCCCACCCACCCCTCCCCTCCCCTCTGCCCCCCCCCCCCACCCCCACCCGTGCAGGTGGTGGATCTCATCAAGAAGAGCGGGGACAAGGTGACGCTGGTCGTCCAGGATGCCAAGTCCTACAAGGAGCAGCGTGTGGCGGCGGCGGCCACGCCTGCCAAGGGCCCTTCCTCGCAAGGGCCCCGCCCGCGACTCTGCACCCTGCAGCGTAGCAGTGACGGCTTCGGATTCCACCTCAAGTCCATTGAAGGTGAGCGGCGTACTCTGTTGTGTGGGCGCTGGGGGGGAGGGGCGGTAGTACAGCTGTAGTGCAGCAATGGTCGGCGCGCTGCGCTACGAACCCGGCTAAGACTCGGGGTTCGATTCCCACTCGCGGCCACCAACGTACAGCGACGATTATCGGAATCGGTCCTGGGCTTCCCCTTGATCGACTCAGCCTGAAATGAGTACCCGGTGTGGTGTGGTGCCGGGGAGACAAAGGCGGCCAGGCGTGGTGCTGGCCACCCACTCCCTCGTGTGCTGTGCCATGAAAAAGCACTTCACAGATCGTCGGATTCCTCCAGTATCAATAGATATTCTGATTCTGATTCCATTCTGATAGGTGCTCGCAAACAGCACTTTGCCCAACAGTCGGTTAAGGCTATACGGGGGGGGGGGTCTTTGTCTTTGTCAGGTTCAGAGGGCATGTTCATCATGGACGTGAAGTACGGCTCCCCGGCTGAGAAGGCTGGCCTGCGCTCCGAGGACCGGCTGGTGGCTCTGAACGGAGAGGACATCACGGACCTGACTCACGCCATCGTCGTGGACAAGGTCAGCGGTGCCCCCGGGGTCCTAGCGTCACGCGTACAGCTCCCCGCCTGTTGCTGCCACTGCTGGATGAGGGCCTTCCGTGTCGTGGTGGTGGTGGTGGTCGCGGGGGGCGGGGGGTTACACGGCCCGTACTTGGTCACGCCGGGGAAGGGCGGTGAAAGTGAGGAGCGTGGGCCTTGATAGCAAAGAACTACGGTGGGGTTTTCCGCACCTTCCTCCGTAGCTTCAACTAACGTAGCTTAAACTATAAACGCAACTATTTTTTTTAAACCAGGTATGTAGCCTAATGAGCTACATAACTCTTTTTCAGAAGCGACCTGGCCGGCTCAAATGATAGCTCTACGAAAGCGGCTTATCGCGCGAACATTTACATCAGCCAAAATACTCTTACACGCGTGATATCGATTATAAATGTGGAGGGGGAAAACCGGAGGACCCGGAAGAAAATCCACGCGACCATGGGGAGAGAGACATTGAAAAGTCCAAATATACAGCAGGCGTCAAGGTCTGGATCGCACCCACGACCGCCTGTATATCAGGCGAGAGAGTGAACATCTCGCTACCGTTCGCCCAACCACAGCTGTCTCCAGCCTCAAGTCCGCTTGGCTTCCGCGGTCTGATCTGATCGATTGCCTTTCGGTTGTGTTTTGATCGCAAGCCCATTGATAATAAAATTAACCTGTTAATTACCCCGACTTCTGTTGAAATCGCCTCCAACGGGCCCGATCTCATCATACACGGGAAGCTAAAGCAAGATTGATCCTGGAGAGCACTCTACAGCGCTGTTGTGGGCGACCGCCATGCATTGTGGGACAACAGAGGGCAGTTCAGTCAAATCATCCATTGTTGTACCGTATCATTCTCTCGTCGTCTACGCTTCCTGCCTTCGCTAACCCACTGCACCACTCAGGGGCCGTCCATAAATGACGTCACGCACTTAAGGGGGGGAGGTCAGACATCTGTGACGATGTGTGACGAGGGGGGGGGGTTGAGAAATGTGACGTCACGTCAAAATGTGCACTTAAAATAAATATAGACAACACGTTCTACTCTAGATTTGAAGCTTTCGTGACTTCAAGGATCCATACTCTTTGGTTTTATTCGGTAAAGTCACGTGACTTTACCGAATAAAACCAAAGAGTAACACGTTCTACTTAATAAAATAGACTTTATCATACATGTTTTCTCCTACAACATCAGAGTGCAGCGCCACATTAAATACGCACTACAATGACAATAGTTTAAAGCGATTTTAAGCATGTTTTATATATTTATTGGGGGGGGGGCAGAGCTTTGTGACGTCATATTTGAGGGGGGGGGGGTCTGACTTTTTGCGACGCCGTGTGACGACGGGGGAGGGGGGGGGGTCAAAAATCGTTCAAAATCGCGTGACGTCATTTACGGACGACCCCTCAGCGTGACGCGGTCTGGTCAATTCACCCCCTGCGACCCGCGTGGCGGCGTCGTCTTCGGAGGAGGAGGAGGTCCTCATCCAGCAACGGATCGGGCACGCGGTCCCGCGCACGTGCGAATGTGCGCGTCGTGCTGCACGCGCGTGCGTTCAACTCTCGACGCTTGTCCCCGCGCTCACCGTAACGTGGCCCAACCGGTGGCGACCGCTGGCGAGATGCACGGAAGGTGAACTGCGGTGTCACCGGGCGATCCACCACGTGCACGCCCGCGTGCGGCGCGAGGCCGGATCGCTCCCGGGAATAATCCTCGCCCGTTTGTACATGGGCAAACCGGCAAGCCTCGGTCTTCAAGTGACAATCCCGCCCGCCCGCCCCCCCCCCCCACCCCACCCCTCCACCACCGCCCTGCCCCGTGCCTCCGGCGCATCCAGGTGAAGCGCGGCGGCAAGACGGTGCACCTCCTCGTGGTGGACAAGGAGGCCAGCGAGCACTTCAAGCGGACGGGCGAGCGGGTGACCGCTGCCATGGTCGAGCGCGCGTCCCTGCCCCACCAGCCCCGCTCCGTCAAGCTGAAGCGCGCCAGCGACGGATACGGCTTCTTCCTGCGCGCCGAGCGCGGACGCATCGGTGGGTACCGCAGGGAGGGGGGACGCCCCCCCCCCCCCAACAACAACTCCCCCCCCACCCACCCCTGACGAGGAGACGCGTATCGTTCGTTCGCTGTCCTTCGCACGCACCTCTGATCAACACGGTTGGCTACGCACGGTGCGAAAGAAGTTCAACGTACGACCGTGGAGCGTTGCACTCTCCCTTTGGCCACACCTCGGCAAGGGGAGCAGAGTCTGTTGCGAAAAAATAGGGTAGCGGACAGCGGGGAAAGATGAGCGGGAGAGGGATGCCCGGACTGAAGTCCCCAAGACGGACAAAGCAGAGGGCACACGGCTCAAGATGAGCAACAGGAAGAGATGAGGAGGAACATCAGCGGTGCAGGAAGGGAGGGGGGGGAGGAGGAGGAGAGAGGAATGACCAGGTCAACACGTCGGGAATGAGAGGGCAGTGATGATGATGATGATGAGATGGAGGGGGAAGGGAGGGAGCAGAGAGTTGAAAGGAGCGAGCAGAAGTGAGCGTGCACAGAGCAGCAGCGTCTGTTTTCACAGGGGGAGAGGAGAGGCACACAGAAGTCACGTGGTTTAACGGAGGTTCCAGCTGAATTAGATGCTACCACGAGCTCAGCACAGTGCACGCCCTGCCTCGTCCAAGCTGCAGTCGTCACTTATCAGCGTTCAGGCTTGCCAGCATTGGGGAGAGACGAGTCTACCGTCCCTGGTGTGGCTAAATGAGAATCTGGCGCCGAGGTTGTTCAGCGGTTTATTCATTCCAGAGCCATCTTATCTAAACAGCCGCGCAATTCGACTGTGGGAAGGTTCAAGGCTACGTCTACGTTCAGGTTCGCAGATTGCCAAAAAAAGCCGTGGACTCTGCTGTTCTTTATATAAACAAATAAATTGCGTGCGAGCTGCGGCACTGAATCAAGAGCACGGGGCGAAGCGGGAAATCTTCGCTGACGCGCCCACACCGCGCTCAAGGGGCTAAACCCATTCGGGCTCGCGAGGTCACCACGACCCGCACGCTACGCCGTTCTTGGTTAATGTATTTTTATATTTTTCAATAAATTATATTGCCAATCTTGAGCCAAATCAGCAACACAGAATTGGACAGTGATATCGGTGAGCTGGGCATTAGGTTTGATTGGCCGAGCGGCGGTGTCGCTATCATGAAAAACGGGCGGAGGTGTTTTCAGACGGGCACACGCACGCACGCGCACGCACGCGAACACGCAGACGGAGTTCTGCGTTTCTCGGGCTTGGAAAAAAATAAAATGTAGCGACCGGGCATCCTCCTGAAACCGGCTGCAGCCGAGGCTGGCAGATCGGACCACACCGCACCCTGAGAGTCGACCGGAATTCCCCTCCACTGCTCGTGCCCAGATTCGTTATTTCTGTTTTACTTATTGTGCCGCTTTGCCCGGAAAAAGATTTACCGATTCGCACGACCCCTGTTCGGGAGGGTGCTGCCAAGTTATCGCAGTAGTGCGGGGGGCAATGAATTTTGAATAGATGCCGTTTGAGTCATTTACAGGTAATGCAACTCAATTTGTACGAGTTATGTAATTGGACCATGATGCTTGCGGGTGACGTCGTGAGATGTCTAGCGTCCACTGCGAGTGAAGTAGCCGAAGGCTTTTTTTCTTCATAACCAATGCACCCAGCAGTATTAACCAGGGCGGCGGCTGGGTTCGAACCACGAACCTGTGCACCGGATGGTGTTAAACTATATATTTTTGTAGTTTACCAGGTAAGGCCCGCTGTGCTGTATAGCTCTTTTTCAGAAGCGAGTTGGCCACAAATGATAACTCAACGAAGTGGCTTATCAACACGTGAAAATTTACAGCAGCCAAACACTCTAAACGCGTGACGTTGATTCGAAATGTGGAGGGGGGAAACCGGAGGACCCGGAGGAAAATCCACGCGACCACGGAAAGAGACACGGAAACTATATACAGGACAGCTGGCGTCAGGGTCGGGATCAAACTCCCGGGACCTCCTGTATACCAGGCGAGGAAGTTAACATCTCGCCCCCCGTGAAGGGTGTCGTCGTCCCGGACCTGCGCGATTTTATCTGCCGAGCATCAGCCGGCAAGAGACGACGTGTCGGCTGCTCCAGCAGGCGACCTTTGTCGTGCCTCTTGCTCAAGCTGTAAACCACCACCCACCCACCCCAACCACCCACCCACCGCCCCCACCCCCCCCCCCCCCCCCAGTCGCCTCTGTCCACCCACGTGTAAAACAAGTGCAGAAACGGTCAGCTGAGTAACGTATGCAGCGATTGCTGTGCACGCGCAAGTACGTGGATGTATCAACGGTGGAAGACGTGGAATCCCAACGTCAATTGGTTCCGTCTAATGAGTTTTCGAGCGCAGGAATTGAGCGATGCAGCAGTGGTTATTGAATGATCGTGAATAATTGGCCTAACAATGAACCGGTTGTTGGGCTTCCTTGGGGTTAGGGTCCATGCAGAATTTTGCACGGGAGCTTGCAGGATGGCAATTACCGCGTTTAAACATTTCCGCGTTACGTATTGCGGGACATGCACACACCGTTGCAACATCGAGTACCGAAACAGCCGCACAATCCCCCGTTCAGCCGTACAAACTTCCCGTGGCGAGTCCTCTCGTCGCTTCGCGCCGCGACCTTCCTCCGCGCCGTACGTAACCAACCTCAGCTAATCGGATGTGGCGGTGCAGGCCACTTCATCCGCGAGATCGACGCCAAGAGCCCCGCCGACAAGATGGGCCTCAAGGACGGAGATCGCATCGTGGCGGTGGGCGGTGACGCCGTGGACAAGCTCACGCACGAGGAGGTGGTGGAGCGCATCCGCAAGGACGGCAGCAGCACCACGCTGCTCGTGCTCTCCGAGGCCGCCGACGCTTTCTACACCATGGTGCGCTCGGTTCGTTGTCCGTCCCCCGACGAGCACGGTTCGCTGCGCACGGTGCGAAAGAAGCTTGATGCACGTAGCGTGCCGTGCGTGGTGCGGCTCCGGGGAGCCCGTGGGGGCCGTAAGCTATGGGGGCCGTGCGGGGTCACGAGTGAGGCCACGATTTTTTTTGGGGACGAGGGGTCACGGAAATCGTGAACTTGAGCGTAAAGGTCGCGCGTGAAATCTTGTTGTCGTTGATGGCCGAACACTTCAGGGTCAGCTGGTTCTCAACACGTGCGTTGCCTGTCTGTATCGGAATCAGAATTCATTATTCATACTGGAGGAATCTGATGCGCTGTAAAGCTCTTTTTCACAGATATCCAGTAGGGGGCGGGTCACAGCGTTACAACAACAAACAATACGATAATACATCAGGAGTGCAAAGCATAGGAAAGGTAAATGACTCACTTAAAATATATACAAATGAAACTTCAATGTTTTTTTATCTTACCAGTTAAAGCTCACTTAAGCCATCAGATTCTTTAGGGGAGGCGCAGGCTGCGGCATGGATACCGTGCAGAGACATTTCGATTATCATTCGGGGAAGGGGTGAACGTTTGCGTTGGCGACAAAACTCCAGTTGCACATAAAACGTGGAACGAGTGCCTTGGTCACACCGCCAAGCTAGAGGCGTGGACACGTGATCTCTCTCTCTCTCTCTGTTATGGCCTCCTTAATCTTGAGTTGTATTTTTTGTGGTGAGGCGGGGCGCGTGGTGACCAGCGGTTTTGAGTGAGGAGGGTGGGCAGGGAGGGACGCCGTGCCAACAATGTTGAGAACTGCTGCATTAGCCACTTGGTTGATTTCTTTTTCAAGGTTGCCGTTTTTTTTCCTTCCGCCTGCAACGCGGCGGCCGTGAACGCTACTCCTAAAGAAATCTTCTTTTTCCCGGTGCCAAAATCGTAGCCTCGGTCGTGCGATCTGTGAGAGAGTCGAAGTTTGTGGGCGCCCTGTGTCGCGGGCGTCGCAATGTCGTGCCGAGGAGAGCAAACGCGTGGACACGCGGGTCCTGGGAGCTGTCCATGGTAACCAAAATGCGACACCGGGAGCAGTAGTTTAGGTAAACTAAACAACAACCAAAAACTAGTTTTATTTGATCAGGTAAGGGCCAACTGAGCTGTTGTAGCTGTTTTTCAAAAGCGACCTGGCCATCACAAATTATAGCTCAGCGAAGTGGCTTATAATGTGGATATTTATAGCAGCCAAACACTCTAAATGCACGTTGATTCTAAATGTGGAGGTTAAACACCGGAGGACCCGGAGGAAAACCCACACGACCACGGGGAGAGAGACACGCAAACTCCAAATGCACAGCAGACGGTTAGGGTCGTGATCGAACCCACGGACTCCTGTATACCAAGCGAGGTAGTTAACATCTCCTAGCCACCGTGATGATGATGATGAGAGAGAGGGAAACACAAACTCCAAATATACAGCAGGCGGTCACAGTCGGGATCGAACTCACGAACTCCTGTATCCTAGGCGAGGTAGGTAACATCTCCCAGCCACCGTGGCACCCTAACGACGTCATCGACGATACCGACGACCATCACGACGACGACCGACGTTGATGGTGACGAACGTTCGCCCGACCCCCGCCAGCACGGCATCAACCCCGTGGGCAGTGGAGGGCGAAGCGACGTCGGCGTCTCTGGCAAGGCGGCGTCCCCCGCGGACGCCCAGGATCTCCGCCCGCGCCTCCGCCGCCTCAGCAAGGGCGCCGACGGCTTCGGTTTCCACCTCTACGGCATCCGGGGCCAGCCGGGGCAGTACATCAAGAAGGTGGGGCACGCACGTGGAGCTGCGCGCTGGCACCAGCGGCGCGCACGGCAGAACCCCTCGCGAAACGTCGTCAGCCTGCGACGCACCGCGCTTCGATCAATTGGCGGGCGGGGGGGGGGGGTGATCCTCATTGCTCATGCACACGTTGGCCTGTGCGAATTTGCGGGACTAATTGTTATGCATATTGCGTTGGGGGGGGGGGCGGAGGTGGTTTGGGGGGTGCCCGACTTCACAAGGTTGCTGGGTCACGGTTCATCGGTCAGAGAAGAAGTGGCAAGGGGTTTAGTGTAAACAACACAACGGATACACACTCGCCTCCGCGTGGTGGTACCCAGAGGTCTTGGACCAACGGGAAGACGATACTGGAGATAACGATCCGACGAGGGTAGGTCCTTGAAGGATCCGTCACCGGTGCAACACGGGGAAGACTTAAATGTGAGTAGTTTAAACTTCTTTCGCACCCTACGTAGCCAACCGTCCTAATCGGAGGGTGCGGGGAACGACAACAAGCTCAACAAAAAAACGCAATTCAAGAAATGTTTTCAATCTAGGCGATTCAAAAGTTGCAGAGCTTCAGTGGCTTCCTGATATCAGAAGAGCGTTCCAGACGGCCACATTGACCGTCTTTGTTTGATTGGTTGGCCAAAAAAGGGCCGCAGAAGCGCTCAGCCAGATGCGATGAGTACGGTCAGTCACTGAAAGACAAGTCATCAGTCCAAGCTCGTGATGATGATGATGATAATGACGATCACGAGACTGTGAGTGCAGATCTTGGTAGAATCGGGGCGCGTGATCGTGAAGCACCCGAGAGATGTGGCGGCAGGAAGGAAAGAGCTTTATAGCTCATCGGATTCCTCCAGTGTAAAATAAATACTCTTAATTCTGATTGTGAAGCAAGCGAGTGCAGTGTTTGCTCGTTCGAGCTCACGTTCACCGAACCGCCCGCCAAACCCCCCCGGGCCGCAGGTGACGCCGGGAAGCCCCGCGGCGCTCGCCGACCTCCACGACGACGACATGGTGGTGGAGGTGAACGGCCACAACGTGCAGGAGGCCACGCACGCCGACATCGTCGCCAAGATCCGCGACGGCGGCGCCAGCGTCGAGCTGCTGGTGGCGAGCCAGGCGGCCGTGCGCCACCACCGGCAGCTCGGCACGGCCATCACGCGCTCGCTGGCCGCGGGCGGCGAAACGGCCCGGGACGCCGCGGCGGCGGTCGCGGTGGCCGCGGCCGTCGCGGCGGCCGACGCCGACAGCCCCGGGGAGCGGGCCGTCGCGGCGGCCATGGCGGCCGTCGCGAGCGTGGCGGCCGCGCGCCTGGCCGTCGAGGAGGACGAGGGGGACGCGGGGATGGCGGCCGCGGTGCTGGCGGCGGCGGCGGCGGAGGCCGGAGACGACACGAACGACGCCCACGAGCGGGCGGCGGCCGCGGCCATCGCAAGCATCGCCGCCCTCGAGCTGGCCGAGCACGACGAGGAGGAGAGCTCCGAGTCGGAGGGCGACGACGAGGACAAGGAGGAGGAGGCGGAGCGGCAGAGGAAGGAGGACGCGGCGCAAGCGGCCGCGGTGGCGAGCATCGCGGCCATCGCCGCCGAGAATCTGATGGCCAGGAGCGGTGGCGGCAGCGACAGCGAGGAGGAGGAGAAGGAGGAGGAGGAGGTGATCCGGGCCGTGGCGGTGGCTGCCGCTGCGGGCGTGGCCGCGGAGGTGCTGGCGCGGGGCGGGGATGCGGACGAGGCCCGCGCGGCCGGGGAGGCGGTGGCGGCGGTGACGGCGGCCGTGGCGGAGGCGGCCAAAGAGAAAAGTGACGACGAGGTAAGGGGGGGGGGACACAAAGCTAAAGGTGCGGGGCCCGTGCAATTTCCTGCTTTTGCCCACCGCTGGCAGAAGGGTCTCCGGTGGAGCGAGTTCGAGAGAGCCCTCCGCTCGAGCGTATTTGTTCCACGCCGTCACACTGGTCAGACTTCCTGAAAGAGGTGGAAGTAGCCACACTTTACCCCACCACGCGTGAGCTGCCAATGTTGAGTGGACAGAGGGCATAAGGGGGGGAGTGGGATTGCGAAATGTGCGCATTGATTCACCTGCCGCAACGGGAGAACTGGAAGCACGCGGGATGCACAGTCGCGGTACATACCACGCAGCGATATTAAGCTCAATCGGCACCTCCGATTAGCACGGTTGGCGACGTACGGTGCGAAAGAAGTTCAACGTCGCCGGGGTTTTGTTTACCATGTATTTGCGGCGTGCCGCGTTATGGTCGGCGAGCATTAAACCTTTTGCGCGCGTGTGTGGTTTGCTTTGCAGGGCGACTCCACCTCGGAAGACGGAGATTCTTTCCTTTAAACTAAATTTCGGGACGGTCCCAGTCATTTCCCCTTTCGTGATTGTCGAATGGATGTAAAAATAATTGCAGTATTGTCAAAAAAAATATGTACATAGTTGCTCTGCAGATTTTCAATTTGTACGATTGTTTTTTTTTTGCCGTCCTCCAATTTGTAGAATGGTGGGGAAATTAGTTTGATTTTTGTTATTTGACACGTGAATTAAAATTAGCAACCTGAATTTTGTTTCTTAATTGAGGTTCACGAACGATTTATGCACGATACAAAAGTAACACGAAATGACCCGCCATCTTTTTTGATTGCTCAAATATCACCTTCTGAAAGTCCAGATTCAAATGACAAATGTGTAACATTTTCAACGAAAATTATACAAAAACTGAACGGTAATCTGAACATTTGCGTTCAGGAGCAACAACTGCATTCATTTGAACTCGTTGTGCCTTCCCCAAGCGGCGAGTTCACTCATTTATGCAAATTCCCAAGCAGGGCGCTAACGGACCATGAGTGTTGTCGACTGCTCGTGATATCACACTCGCAGGAGAGAGAAAAAACAAATACATTGGGACAGCTAACAACAAAAACAAAACTCTAAATCGGCCACATCACGTCGACTGGTTGAGAAAAAAAAACTATACAGGATAGGAGCAAGACGAATTGTGGGGAGGCCTTCATCCAGCAGTGGATAGACCAGGACCGATTACCGGTGATATCCATCAGCAGCGCAGCAGGGGAAATCGATGTATATTGACCGTAGGAGGCGTATCGTTGGGTATAGTTTTTTTTTTTAAAGCGGCTCGCCAACAACGTTGCTTCTGCGTCGCACAAAAATGCGCTTTCAAAACAAAAAAAACGTTGGCTCGGCGTGGTGAGCGTGCACACGGGATTTGGAAAAAAGAACCGTATGAATAAGCAACGTAATAAATACATCTATCGACGAATTGCCGCGACCAGGTGTCATTTTATCTCCACCACCACCGCTGCCACCTCCCCACACCGCAGGGGTGGACGAGCTGGCAAAGGAATCCACAGCTGGTGTGGATGACGCTTGCGAGAACCAGAACACCCCTACCCCCCCCCCCCGTTTCGGGCGAGGTAATGTTACGTTACGGGGAGGGGGCGGCACTTGCCTGGCGTGGCTAGATGTTAACCACCTCGCCTGGTATACAGGAGGTCGTGCGTTCAATCCCAACCCTGACGATGCCTGCATATTGAGTTTCCATGTTCACTCCCTGTGGTTGCGTGGATTTTCCCTCAAGAGCCTTCTGGTTTATCCCCCCCCCCCACTCCACATTTATAAATCGACATCCGTTGAGTGTATTTGGCCGCTCTAAAGTTCAACTTGATCCTCCACGTCGTTGAACTATCATGTGGCCGGATCGCTTAAAAAAAAATAAAGCTATAAATGTATGAAAAAATAAGAATAGCTTTTCCCCTTTCTGGTAATAAAAGAGGTGTTAAGATGTTAAAACACCAAATAGAAACATTTTGCAAGGAATCAAGTTCGCGTTAACGACACGGAGTGCTTGTGGTGGGGGCATGCAAACAAACTATATAGCTCAGTGGGCCTTACCTAGTAAAATTTAAAAGTTAGGTTTTTAGTTTCGTGTCGAGAGGTCATTAGGTCGGCCAGGCTGCAAGAGGGTTGACCCACTGCCCAAGAAGATGGTTGGTTTCACGAGCTGGAGGTGGTGCAGACAGATGTAGCCACGCTTCGATTCCCAGCTACGGCCGGTCAACTTCGGAATCAGTCCTGGATATCCGCTGGGTTGCCGACACCCAGAGTTTGGCGAGGCCTTCATCCTACCAGTAGATTTATCGTGGCCGACAAGTGATAAATGATGAGGACACCAACACAAAAACGTCATCGCTACCACCAACAAATCCTTTATTTAAAATTGCAATACAGATGTCTGGGAAGACTAAAAGAAAATAACAATAAAATTAAACAATTATTCTGTGCAGTTATTAGCTTGAACAGAAAAAAAAACTGAATTACTGGAAAAACTTCACTTATTCCGGTCTCGCATTGAAAAACGACAAAACAATTCGAGGCATCAACCCATTTGCTTACACATAATGGACAGATGGTCCAGCTCGAACACAAGGAAGCATTACGGTAAATGTACGGTCGTTTCAAGAGTAAACATTTCATCAATGCCCTAAAAATACCCAGTATCACGACTCCACATCCACAGCCACAGGGTGCCACCCTACAGCCCCCGATGTCTCAGGGGAGATTAGCACCGGAGGCTATGCACTTTTAAAATCCAGATTGCAAACCCATTTCCTTCGAACTGCTGCTGCTTTCTTGCGTTTGGTTCGTCGTCCGTCCGATCGGCACGGTCAGACGCGCACGGCGCAAAGGAAGTTCGACACGCGAACACAAGAGATGGACCGTCGCAGTCAGCACGGTGCTCGCATGCATCTCCGTCTCCCAAGGCAAGCCTGATACACGTGCGCACGAGCCCCTCGTGTGCCAGGCAGATCGGCCTGGCACGAATATCAATGCGGGATTGCCCGGCGCTGCTGGCGTTGAGATCGGAGCAGTTAAAACAAAAACAAAATCTAAAATCGTATTAAGGACCCGATTTGAATACATAATCCGGAGGGCTTACCGCTTGCTCGCCAAAGCAAGCAGACGTGAGATTGTTTATTTGCATGCAGGGCGAGTTGGTTGCAGGTGTCTGCCGAGACACGCACAATCACTCCGCCACCACTGGCCAAATTTAGCAGTTGTGTACCACCCACTAATGTCAGCGCAGACTCTTCCCACCCATCTATCTGAAAAGTCGGATACTTCATAAATCTTATAATTATTTTAAAAAATAAGTCATTTTTTTGCCATAGTACTATTAACAGTGAATTTGACCTGACATCCATCATCTACCGGTTTCAAGAAGACATTGATTAGCACGAAAAACAAGGCTTTGGCAATTGAATAAATCAAAATGTGGTTTGATGGCGAGCAACTCCATGAACACGTTGCTCCATAAGTTACAGAGGAGATGCGAGGAGGCAGTCTTAGACTAGCGGCAAGTTAAAACTTCGTAAATGTACGTTCTCTCTCTAAAAAAAAAAAATCGCTTTAACCATACCTGGCACAACATGGTTAGTGGAATCGCCCCGAGCAATAGGGACAACTTAAAAAAAAAACGTGTAAAGCTTGGACAGGAGGAGGGGGGGCTGTGAAAGCCATCGGCGCCATCGCCACAAGACGTTTCCACTCGCCAAACATTGCCGTGCGAGTCGCTGATGAAGTGACAACGCCGCTGGCAACTTGCACGCGAACCGCTTGACAGGCGTCACAACACTACGAACGGCGTTTAGGCAAAAACGTTTCTTGACCAAACTTCCCAATACCACCAAGCGTCAGGAACGCAACACGCACGTACACGTTGCGCAGATTCACCCCCCCTCCTCCCCGTGTAGCCTTACAAACCACGTGGGTAAAAGTGCCGTTAGCGAGCGCCTGTTAAAAGGCCGGCACGGCGCACAAGCAGGCAGTGTGGCCAGCAGTACCGTGCCTGGCCACCTTGGCGATGCTGACGCACGCACACCATAACTAGGGCGCGCTCATTTGGGGCCGAGTTGACTTTGGGGAGGGACCCAGGATCAGTTGAGATAAAACTCCACTTGAGTGCAGTGCACCAACCACGATGCTGCTACTCCTTTCATCATCTCACAAATGTGCACGCACGAACACAATGAACCATTTTATGAGACGGAGACACACGCAGCACATTGCCACCAGACACACAGTAAAATTCCACCAGACATACATAATAATGGGACCAGACACACACAAACACTGGCAATAATGCCTCCAGACAGAACACACACAGCATAACACTACCGGACACAACACAGATTCACACGGATGCACAGGGACACACATGGACGCAGCGGCAATAATACCACCAGAAAACACACAGACGGCAGCGACACACAGGCACAGCGCACGTCGCACGGCGGGCGGGCGAGCGAGCCGTGGCCTGGGGGCCCTGTCGCGGCTCAGACTCCGATGACCTGGGTCTCCTTCTCGCGCGTCGTCACGTAGTTGAGCAGGTCGATGGCCGTCACGATCCCGAACACCATGTTCTGCTTCTGCGAGTGGCCCTGGCCACGATCTGCGACAGAGGGCGAGGCACCAACACCGCCGTCATGGTGGAATGAGAAGCATTTCCGCCGCGGGTTTAAAAAGTTAAAGTTGTTCGGAAGCCACTGGAGCTATGCACTTTTACAATCATCTAGATTGACAAACTCAATTCTTCAGAACTGCTTTGCGTTTAGTTTGTTGCCATTCCCCCACCACTTCCGATTAACACGGTTGGCTACGTTCGGTGCGAAAGGAGTTCAACATACGTACGTTCGTACAAGAGGCGAGCGCATTTGAGTGGAGACAACCATGACACATTTGAATATCCCAGCGTTGGCCGATTCACTACGATGCAGAAATTCATCATCTCGCATCAATTCACATGCTCAGAAATGTATTGATAACTTGAATACATTTTACAGCTGTATGAAGGCCTCCAAAACACTGCATCACTAACGAGAACCCCATATCTCAAAAACGAGATGGGGGACCTGATCCTATAAAATCTGGCAGTTCACCATCATTGATGCAAGCAAGCCCAACTCTGCTGATGGCACATTTTATGTCAAAACCAGTCCACAGTTTGCTTGGGCTGAATCAACACTGGTAAAACGATTCACTCCCAGGATGCTGTTGGGCCGATGGGTTGCGCAATATAACTATTTCGTAGTTTTTATGTTAAAGAGACAAATACACGGAGGAGACCCATTGTCTCCCTCATCTAATTGCATGGTTGGAGGAGTAACGAGAGTTGTCTGACCATACTTCACCATGCTGGTCAATGGAGGTCTGTGACGGGAGATTGGGTGGTGGTGGGGTGAGGACAGATTCAGATATCGCTCGCCACCGATGTTAGCCATGGGTCGGGAATTCAACTCGGGTCTCCGAATTCACAACGCAGCGCACTTCTGCTCCAGTGTAGTGGTTGGCGTACCGAGCAATGAACAATGTAACCCCGAATAAGATTCCCGCTCATGATCAATAGCGGTGGTAAATATTTGAATCGGGTGCGGGGCGTCCCCCCACCTCCTCGGTCAACTCTGCCTGGTACGGCGTCAAAACATCAGCACTGGGAAGACAAAGGCGGCTAGGCGTGGTTTTAGCCACAGACCCATTCGTGTGCCGTGCCGGCCTTCATTAGGTGCGCTTCCCTCCCGCCCCTCCCCCGCCCCCCCAGAGCCTGTGAAGGCTATTTGTGTCTTCCTGTGTGAATGTAGAATAAAGGCATTACAAAAGCGTATACATGTACCAAAAGTCTTACACTGAATCTGGTCGTGGACCACCAGCGCAAAGTGATCCGTCTCCAGGATGCGCGACAGCTTGCCCAGGTTGTCCTTCAGAGTGATCTGTGAATGGCCGCAGGAGGAAAGCACGTAAATTTCGACTTAAAGCTTTCGTGACTGCAAGGATTCATCTTCTTTGGTTCTTTCGGTAAAGTCACCACGTAGAATGAGAATAAAGTAATACAATAAAACAATAAAATTCTCACGACGTTTCGGCCACAACACAAGTGGCCTTCTTCGGGTGAAAGGAACAACCTGTCGGGACGACAGAGCTACAATGTAGCAACCTGGCGGGACGACAGAGCTGTCGGGACGACAGAGCTACAATGTAGCAACCTGTCAGGACGACAGAGCTGTCGGGACGACAGAGCTACAATGTAGCAACCTGTCAGGACGACAGAGCTGTCGGGACGACAGAGCTACAATTTAGCAACCTGTCGGGACGAGAGAGCTGTTGGGACGACAGAGCTACAATGTAGCAACCTGTCGGGACGACAGAGCTGTCGGGACGACAGAGCTACAATGTAGCAACCTGTCGGGACGACAGAGCTACAATGTAGCAACCTGTCGGGACGACAGAGCTACAATGTAGCAACCTGTCAGGACGACAGAGCTGTCGGGACGACAAAGCTACAATTTAGCAACCTGTCGGGACGAGAGAGCTGTCGGGACGACAGAGCTACAATGTAGCAACCTGTCGGGACGACAGAGCTACAATGTAGCAACCTGTCGGGACGACAGAGCTACAATGTAGCAACCTGTCGGGACGACAGAGCTACAATGTAGCAACCTGTCGGGACGACAGAGCTGTCGGGACGACAGAGCTACAATGTAGCAACCTGTCGGGACGACAGAGCTGTCGGGACGACAGAGCTACAATGTAGCAACCTGTCGGGACGACAGAGCTACAATGTAGCAACCTGTCGGGACGACAGAGCTACAATGTAGCAACCTGTCGGGACGACAGAGCTACAATGTAGCAACCTGTCGGGACGACAGAGCTGTCGTCCCGACAGGTTGCTACATTGTAGCTCTGTCGTCCCGACAGGTTGTTCCTTTCACCTGAAGAAGGCCACTTGTGTTGTGGCCAAAACGTCGTAAGAATTTTATTGTTTTATTTTATTATTTTATTCTCATTCTACGTGGTGGTGACTTTACCGAAAGAACCAAAGCAGAGGAAAGCATGTGTCGCCACAGTCCGTGTCAATGGGTCACTGGGTTCACGTGTTGGGAGGTGTCACATGACCCACGCGTGTGCACGAATTTCCTTCCTTTTTATTATTACCGTACTTTTATTTAACTTTTCCCTGTTGTCCGTTTAACTTCTTTAAAATCTTTGACGCCTAATATCTGGCGTCAGATTTACAAAGCCTAACGAGATGAAATTTTGCAGACTCTTCATCATCTCGCGTGACGATTAAAGAATTAATTTAAAATAACCGGTTCGGGTCCTGCCAATTCTGGGTCTCTTCTTTTTTTTACTTACATTTTTTATTTAACCATTTCAAATTTATTATAATTATCCAGACAGTTAACTATTGTTATTTTTATATTCTTGGTTCTTTCGGTAAAGTCACGTAGAAAGGAAACAATAAAATAATAAAAATATAAAACAATAAAATTCTCACAAAATTGTTATTTTCTGGATGAGATTTTATAATGAATATCTATATATAACAAATAATTTTCACAAGATTAACATTAAAATAAATTAGGTAGAGTTATTTGCATTCAAAAGAAAATAAATTATTTTGACCCCAGAACTGATCAAATTTGATGTGCTCAATGAAAGTGGATGGTTTACAAAAAGGTAAACATATGAAAAGGAAACCACCCACTTTTATTCAGCACGTCAAATTTGATTAATTTTGGGGTCAAAATAACGTTTCTACTTTTGAGTGCAAATACAGGTGTGTGCATTGAAAAACTAATTGACCTAATTTATTTTAATTTTAATCTTGTACAAATAATTTGGAATATGTACATATTTCAGTCTAAGATCTCAATCCATATAATAACAATAATTCATTATTTACCGAACTTATTTTTAACCCATCATTTAGACTTCAAACATACCGAGAAGCAATTGTATTCTTACGGTAAAACAAAACCACACAAACTACCAGAAACTCGCGTTAAAATGTCATCCATTAGAGGTTTTTTGGGTCAGATCGCATAAAGATGTGTTGTCAAACCCACCACCACCCAACACAGCCAATAGGTAAGGTTTGCCACATAAACAGAACGTGCCAATTCGTTACTAGTACAGCAACACCGGTGTGTGTTGGAGAGCCAAGCCACAACATTTACAACCCGAGTACAACGTTAAAATATTAACGGAGCGTCTCGGCCGGGCTGACGGGAGGAGGGCACACACACACACACACCTGCTTGAATTGCTTGTAGAGGATCTTGGAGACGGGGTCGGAAGGTTTGACCTTGCCAGCGAGCGTGCAGGACAGCATGTTACCAAGAGTCACCATGCCCAGCACCAGCCTGAGAGAGAGAGAGACACGCGCGGACACACATCGCCCGTCTAAACCAGCGCTCCCCCGCATGGTGGCATCACCACGCCGCTTGGCACGGCCACACCACATCTACTGGCTTGGGAAACAGGTACGGTCGGTGCATGTGGCGCAACTACGTGTGTGTTTGTGTGCGTGGGGGTGTGGAGTGGCAGGGGTGACCAGCAATCAGCAGTGCCGAGTGAGATCCGAATTTAGATCCTGGGCCGCACGTAACTAACCCACACCGACCAGCAGGGTGGTGAAGTATGGTATAAAACAAAAACCCCATGACCGGCAGGGAGTAGCAGTGAGGGTTGGGGTAGGTTGGGGTAGTGATAGTGGCTGGGGGGGCGATTGGGGTTGGGATAGGCCTGATCACAGCTGGGGGAGGCCGGGGGTTAGGGAGCAGCAGTAGGATGGGAAAGGGAGAAGAGATGGGGGTTGTTTTAAATTGAGGAACAGAAGCAGGTTAGAGTGAAGACCATTGTTTAATTTGATTAAAATGGGTTTTAACGGTGAAAACGCAACCGTTAGAAGCGCACAAAAGCACCGATTTGGTCGCGACACAACACCCTGCATGTCACTGCCGCCACCTGGTGAACCCTCGCGTTAATAGCAACCCTAACCAGGCGACTTTCACTTGTAAGTAGGGAAACTTCGTTTAAATGATGCCGTGCTGCCATCTGCTGGCAACTCAGCCGGGTGGCGTAATGACAGGAGGAGGGGGGACTTAAAGATTGGGAATGCTGCGATGAAAATTCAAAGTCCTCCGATGAGCCCATCCACGCGTTACCATACAATATAAAAAATGGGGAAAAATTAATCGGGGCTCAAGTTTCGCGGCCGACTGATCGCATTCAAATCACAGTGTTGCAAGGGCACTAAATATGCCCTTCGCTCTCGTAACCGTTTACTGCAGCAGCTAGGATGCTTGCAGCTGTGTTGATGAATACAATCGCTTGCGGGCCACTTCCAAGTTGGAAGGCCTCACCATGCGGCTGTAACGTTTCCCCCACCTTCATCCTAGCCCACGATAAACGACTGCACTTGCCGCTCGCTTATGGATAAACTGGGGCCCCCCCGCCAGAGGAGAGTGGAGCTCACCCTGTGGTCTGGGGTATGGAGACCGAACGGATTTATTTATTTTAAATTTATTTTCCCTGCGATTATTTTTTCTGTTTCGTGCCTTGTTTTCCCCACCTCGCTATTTTTGCGTACATTTTTGTTTTTATTTGCCAAGTAGTGGGGGTTTCATCCGTGTATTTTTTTGTACGCAACTGGATAATTGATGCGCAGCGTGTGCGGGATGCAATTGCACGAAATGACGCTCTATAAAATGAAATTTGTATCATTATTATTATTACCCTGCGCTGTTCACCACAGGCACCTGGTCGTATCCCTTCTCGCGCAAGAGCGCCATCGTCTCCTGGCAGCTGACCGTCGGCAGGACGGTGAGCGGCGCGGAGAGACACAAATCCTGAACCTTCATGTCCCACCACCTGCGTGTGGCGGGAGGGGGGTGGGGGGGGAGGTGGGGCAACGAGCCCCAGCGATAAGACAATCACAACATGCGCGTGGTGACAAAACAAAAAGGACTCGATAAAACTACAACAAGGAGGTCCCATCCGTAGGACCCAATTAGCTACGAATGTCAGTTCAGCAAATCGGGAAATAACGCCACCTCACCCACCCCCCTCTTCCCCCAATTTGTCTAAGTTTATTTTTTTATTTATCCACGTGATATTAGGAAGCCACTGGAGCTATACGGCCTTTTAAATAATCTAGATTGACAAGTAATTTCGTTAGAACTGCTTTTGTGATCAGCCTCTTGTTGTCCTCCCCCGCCCCCGCATCCCCAATTACCACGGTGATGAAAGAAGTTCGACATTACATAAATACATTAGAGACTCCTAGAGATTACACAGATAGACTGGGTGAAAAGGTGGGCTAGGTTTTTTTGCCCAAATCCTGGCCAGCTGGCTCAACAACTTGACGAACAATCACAGGACGCGTGAGAGTAGAGCGGAGGGTGGGTGCAGGTTCCCTCACCAGGGCTTGTTCGGCAGGTAGTCCTCCTCGGGGAGGAATCCCTTCTGCGCCATCCAATGGTCGCTGAGAAACTTGGTCCTTTGGCGCAAACAAACACACGGAGCTTGAAGTGCGCTCAGACTAAAAAAAAAAAGACTCAAAAGTCGCGTCGAGCGTTGGCAGCGTGCGTGCCCGAGTGACGTTCGATCCAGAAGATTGCAAACAAGTTAAGGTTCAAAAATAAAATCGCTTTCCAGCCATGGCGTCTTCGAACACATTATTTAATGTGCGCGTAGGTTCCTCGTAGGGAACGGTGTTGGGAAGCGGTAGTGTCGCGGTTCACGATCTCGCATCAAAAGAGGGACTCTCTCTCAAACGAAATGGTTTCGTGAAGCACATTGCATTTCACGGCTTGGCAATTGCCATAAAGCCTGCGCACGGGCACACGGAGTGGGGGGGGGGGGGGGGGTTGTACGGAGTTCCCCTGCACGTCTCCGCGTGGACTCACATGTAGTTGCGGATCGAGTCTGGCAGGAGGACAACGCAGCGCTGACCTTCGCGCAGCGACTTGGCAGCTTCCACCGCCGCCACCATCGCCGAGCCCGAACTCCCGCCTGCCACCATCACCCCACAACACACCGTCGCGATCACGGCCGTCGCGGTCACGGCCGTCGCGGTCACGGCCGTCGCGGTCACGGCCGTCGCGGTCACGGCCGTCGCGATCACGGCCGTCGCGATCACGGCCGTCGCCGTCGTGATCACGGCCGTCGCGATCACGGCCGTCGCGATCACGGCCGTCGCGATCACGGCCATTGCCGTCGCGATCACGGCCGTCATCGTAAATCGCCACCACCATAGCAATCGTCATAAATCACGGTCATCGTAGTCGTCTTGCTCTGGATGACCAGAAGTAGTAGTGATAATAAAGTCTCACCGTCACTTGTGCCACCATCGCTACCATCATCAGAATCGCCATTCTAAGAGGGATTCTGGTCGTCACTGAAGCCTCTCCACCCACACAGTCAAAGCCCACCACTAAAAGAGGGTGGGACATACAGATGGTGGCAGGGCCTACAGAGGTTAAATTTCCCTTGCTGATTCAAGGTCATGTCAAAGCCAAGGTCATGTCAAAGAATAATTAAATACTTACAGCAGGCAGCATAGTTCTTGTGCCACAGATGTGGCCACAGGCCAAGTAGTTCTCATAATTATGTAATTATATAACATCGTCGTCATTTTGATTTAAAGCTTTCGTGACTGCAGTAATTCATATTCTTAGCTCTTTCGGTAAAGTCACGTTGAAGGGAAGCAATAAAATAATAAAATATATATAAAACAATAAAAATTCTCACGACGTTTCGACCATAACACAAACGGTCATCATCAGGTGTGAAAAAAAAACGGTGATCATCACACCTGATGATGACCGTTTGTGTTATGGTCGAAACGTCGTGAGAATTTTTATTATTTTATATATATATTTTATTATTTTATTGTTTCCCTTCAACGTGACTTTACCGAAAGAGCTAAGAATATCGTCGGCATTGTCATCAGCAATACCATTTGTATTGTCATCATCATCATCATCAGTATCACCATGATCATTCATATTTCTGTAGTCATCATTATAATCACCAGTCACCATCTTCGTGGCCGTGTCACTGGTTGTGGTGCATTGTTGTCGTGCGATGCCTGCGATGGTGGTCGTGATGATGGCATCAGCGATGCCATCAAAGCGGTGGTTACGGTGGCGATGGTGACAACGCCATCAAGGCGGTGGGTGACGTCAACTATGATAGAGGTGTCGGTGATGGTGGCGGTGGTGGTCTCACCACATAGCAGGCCCTCCTCGCGGATGAGGCGTCTCGCCATGAGGAAGGAGGTCTCGTCCGTGCTCTTGTACCACACGTCCACCACCTTCCCCGCACGCAGCGGCGACGGGGAGAGCGGCGCGACGAGGAAAGATCGCGATCACAGCGGGGCGGGCGGGGGGGGGGGATCAGGAACAACGTCACGAGTGTGGCTGGTGACGACAACTGCGGTGCTTGGCGGTGGCTGCTCGTGTTGGCGGTGGTAATTGGTGGCGAGGACATTTAAATCACGACGGTGGCGTGGGTGGCGATGGCGATCGGCGGTTGCTGCTAGTCGTGGCGGCGGTGGTAATGATTACAGCGGTGGTAGCCGCACAAATTGGTGGCAAGGGCAGCAACGGTGACGGCGAGGACGACGGCGGGAGGGCGGCATTACCGTTCTGTCGAGGACCGTGGGCACGAAGTCGTAACCGATGCCCTCCACCTCGTACGCAGTCTTCTCCGTCCTGTTCAGCTCGTCGGGCAGGGCCAGGATCGAGCCCTCTGGGTCCACGCCCACGATCTGTGGCAGGGATGCCCCCCCCCCACCCCCACCCATTCATCAGCACCGGACCCTCCAAACCATCACACCCCCGGCCGCGACCACTGCGTCACGTCTTCACCTCGCTCATCTTTTCCACTCGCCACATCTCTCTCGCGTGACGGTCATATATATTTAAATAAATGACCGTCGCACGTTAAATATTTGTAGAAACGCCATATAAAAGTAGCACGTAAAAAAAACGATCTACTGTCATATGAACACAATGGAAAAATTATAGACTGACGGGAAAATTACTCCATCTTAAAACGCAAATTCGCTTTACACAGCAATTTTCTGGAATGAAACCCCCACGTTAAGCAGAGGCTTTGCTGTAAACACGTCGATCTTCCTAATCATTCATAATCACTCATCCGAACTTATTTCAACATCGTCATCGTCACCTTGCAGTTTGGGCACTTCTCCTTGAATTTCCGCGCAAGGCCAGAAATGGTGCCGCCAGTACCAGCGCCAGCAATCAGCATATCCACACGGCCTGAGTCGACATGAACACCTCATCGTTGATCAAATTCATTACCGTCAACCATCATCGCGGTCTGTGCCCGCCAGACCACAGCAATGCTTTACGAACAATCCAGCGACAATAAAACTATACAACTATTTTTTTTATTTTACCAGGTAAGGTCCCACCAAGAAAATGTAGCTCTTTTTTCAGAAGCGACCTGGCTATCACAAATGATAGCAACAACAAAGTGGCTTATCGCGTGGACATTTATAACAGCAGCCAAAATAGTCTAAAGCGCGTTTCTAAAATGGAGGGAAAAACCGGAGATCTGGAGCAAAATCCACGCGACCACGGGGAGAACATGCATACTCCAAATACACAGCAGGCATCGGGTCGAGATTAAACCCACGACCTCCTGTATACCAGGCGAGGTAGTTAACATCTCGCCACCATCGCATATAGCTCCCTATGCTACATTGAGACTGTATGGCAGGAGTGGAAAAAGCACATCATTATTCTTCAGGCAGGGAGATATAATACGCTCTTGCCAAGGCTATGGTGTACAGCAACATCCCGAAAGATAGATCTTACGAAAAGAAAAACTTATACTTTTGAAGCGAAGGCAGAAAACACACGTGAAGAAGCAATTGGCTCACTTTGTGAACTGGCATCTCCAGGCAACCACGCGACCACTCACCATCGCACTGCTCCAAGATCTCCTCGGCAGTGATGTCGTAGTGCGCGAGGGGGTTCCCGGGGTTGCGATACTGAAGAAACGCACGCACACACGCGCACACACAGACACGCATGCACACGCACGCACGCACGGGGCCAAACACAGTCCGCTCCGTTAAGAGCCGCAGCAGCGCTGTTCGCGGGCGCCTATTGAAGGAACGCGCAAGACAAACGGAACAAAACAGTTCTCCGTCTAGTAGGATTCGTGTCCTCGGACTGCCCGGCGGCGCCACGAGATCCCTCAGCTTTGTGAACGAGGAGAACAAAGACCATGATGTTACAGCCAAGCGTGGCCGCGCAACGATGCCACGGACACTCGTCGCATTGAGGCGTGGGAGGGGGGAGGTGGTCAGGGTCGAGACGCAGGTGGCAGGGGGTGGCGAGGAGGTGGCGAGGAGGTGGCGAGGAGGTGGCGAGGAGGTGGCGAGCGTCTCACCTGGTCCAGGATGTGGGCGTTGGGGATCTCGTGCTTGAGTCTCCAGGCGACACCCACGTGAGACTCGGGGGAGTCGAAGCTCGCGCTTGTTGGTGTGCGGACGATCTCCGCTCCCAGTGCACGCAGTACGTCCACCTACGCACAACGACAAAGGGGGTACACCCCCCCCCCCCCCCACACTTGGTGTAGCCATTTAGCAAACTAAGACTATGAACAATTTTTTTGTGTTTTACCAGGTAAGGCCCAGCGAGCTAAAGACCTCTGTTTCAGAAGTGACCTGGCCACAAATGATAGCTCAACGAAGTGGCTAATCACGTGGAAATTTAAAGCAGCCAAACACTCCATAACGCGTAGATGTTGATGCTAAACGTGGGAGGGAAAAACCGGAGGACCCGGAGAACAATCCACACGACCACGGGGAGAGAGAGGTACACGCAAACTCCAAATACACAGGTGTCAAGGGTCGGGACCCAATCCACAACATCCTTCAAACCAGGCGAGGTAGTCAACTTATCGCCACCAGACTGTGGCACAGGTGCCGTTGGCGAGCACCTTTGAAGGCCGGCGCACGAGGTGGGTGTGGGGTGGCCAGCGCCACACGCCCCCTTCGTATCCCCAAGTGCGGGCATTTACACACCGCACCAGATGCTCAATTAAAAGGCCGAGTCGCCCTAGGGGATGCACAGCACCCTGCTTCAGATATTTCGCCACCGGAATTGGGTCGAGAACGGAAATCGAAGAAGCAGACCCCATGCGGTGTGAGATAATCATTAGAAACAAAAAAAAGGGTTGATGAGATTATTTAAAGAGCAAGCCATGTAGCGATGCAATGTCAAAAAGTTAAATCAAAGTGGTTTTCTGCTCAAATAACCAGAGGCAGTGCTCCCTCTTCCACGTACCTCCCCGAGCCAGTGATGGAAATTCCACATTCCTATGGCAGGGGTGAGTCTAGCCACAAGACAGCCACTGGTGACTTCACCACAAAGATGGTATTTATTTTATCGACCCCAGAAGGATGATAGGCTGGGTCATCCCCCAACATCCATGATGCGAACTCGCAATCTCGCTCTACTGCTGAAGCCACCTCGGCGGAAGTGTGTGCAAGTGGCCGAGCCAAATAATAAACCAGCCGTGGGTAAGAAAAAAAAAATCAAATCAGCTTCGGATTTTTTTTTTTATTAACCTTGCTCCAGGATCCTTCGCAACAAAACGAGAAAGTCGTGCCCCCGATTGTGATGCCACGGGGATGAAGGATCCGAGTGGATTCTCAGCCTCGTGGGCGCGATGGCAAATACCGCGAAACGGGACGTTGCGGTCCGGTGCATCGCGAGCGCGAGATTTAAAAAAAAAAAAGTGAATTCGTAAACGCGACGCGCGACTGCTTGCGCGTCTATCGGACCCACGGCACGCGGGGACCCCACCTCGTGGCGTTGCACCCACCTTCTCGGCGCTCATCTTCTCCGGCATGACGATGATGCAGCGGTAGCCCTTGACGGCAGCGGCCAGGGCCAGCCCGATCCCTGCCGGCAGCGATTCACAAGATCGATTAAAACTGGCTGGGCCCCCCGCAACCCCCCCAGGCATCGGTGCGAGCGATGCCTGCGCATGCGCGGGATTCTGTGCCAGCCACTGGGTGTCAAGTTCGGCCGCTCTGGAGGAAGAGGAGGTGGCGGCGGGGGCTCGTCAAGGACGCCACGGAGCGCGGACGAGAGGCTAAACACGTAGCGAGAGTTTTGGTGGGAGTGGGGAGCACCGGTGGTGCAACTGCCCGTCATGGTCAGTCAACCCGTGGGGGGGGGGGTCTGTTACACGACCTCCCGCTTGTAGCGATTATCCGAACCGGTCCTGGGCCTCCCCCCTAGCTCCCACTCAGCAGTGTGTAGTAAACATCGCCGCCGGGGGGAGACAAAAGTTGACCGGGGAGTGGCGCCAGCCGCACACACCGCCCGCCCCGCTCGTGCGCGCCATGGCCGGCCTTCATTGGACGCTGCTCGCGAACAACACTTGCCACGACAGTCTGCGTCTTCGCGTGTACGGGGCTACGTCTTGCACTGGCCTGCTCACTCGCGTCGCGGCCCGGACACGCACACGGAGCACACGGAGCACACGCGTGTGCTGTGTGCGTGTGCTCCATGTGCTCCGTGTGCTCCGTGTGCTCCGTGTGCTCCGTGTGCTCCGTGTGCGTGCACGACGAAGGGACGTGGGCGGCATACCGGTGTTGCCGGACGTGGGCTCGATGATGGTGTCCCCGGGCTGGAGGAGGCCATCGCGCTCCGCGTCCTCCACCATGCGCAGAGCGATGCGGTCCTTGACGCTGCCGCCCGAGTTGAAGAACTCGCATTTGGCCACTGTGATGGGAGGCGAGGGGGGGGGAGCAGCGGTTTTAACAAACACGTTTATGCCTTACGCGATCTAACACACAACAACAACAACAACAAAACTTGACTCTGAAAATGACCGGCCGCTTGACGGGGGCCAGCTTCAACTCACAAATTTCACACTTGAGTCCGTAGGTCTTGCCGATGTTGTTGATGCGAACCATGGGCGAGTTCCCGATGTTTGACAGAATGTTCGGCAAGACTTTGGGACGTTCTTTTCTGTGGGGCGCAACGGGCAGGGGGACAAACCGAGCGCTTACTGAGGCCGTGACGGCACACGGGGCGGAGGGGGGGGGGGTAGTACCATCACTGTAGGCACGACCAGTTGCGTCTCCCCGGGGTCGATGTTGATTCCGCGCCACACCGTGCACTCGTTTAAAGCCGAGGTCACCTTTGAAGGGGGATATCCCGGACCGGTTCTGATATGGCCGGGCACTGACTTTATCCGTGGCCGGGAATCAAACGTTGGTAAAGACACGGGCACACACACGCAAAGACAAAGGCCCACCCCCCTCCCTCAACCACGCATGGCCTTAACAGACTTTTGGGGCAAGTGCTGTTAGCAAGCACCTTTATGAAGGCTTGCACGGTACACGCCAGGGGGTGTGGGGTGACCAGCACCACCACGCCTGGCCGACTTTGCCTCCCTAGTGGCGATGTTTTACACACTGCACAAAGTACTAACTTTAGGCCAAGTTAACCTAAGGGAGGCCTAGGGGACACGTGCGCGCGCGCACACACACACACACGCGGGAGTGTGAAAATGAACTTATTCAAAGGATTAACAAAAAGTCACGTTGCAACAGAGTTCGGTTACACCGATCCGAGCGATTGCAGCCTTCGAAGGCAACGCAAAACAACTGCACGGCATCGTCAGCGCCAAACCCGGGAGCCTTCACAGCTGGCATCACTTCAACGCCGACAGCAGTGCAGAGCCAGCTCGACCTTGAGCAGGGTACACACGAGGTCCCGTCTGTACAACTGACCACCCATCATCAATAGCCGACCTTGGGGAGGGCTGATAAGCAAAATATATATATATAAAATCGCCACGAGCGATGGCACCGCACAGTTAAAGCACCAAGCCCTGGAAGATGGCACTGCAGAACTACTGCGGAGGCCTCTTCAGAGTGCCGCTTGGCCGCATGTTGGAACGCACAATCCCGCAGGGAGGTGTCCAACGCATGTCAAAATGACGGCTTTACATCTGGGAGATGTAGGAGGTGGCAAGCAAATAATGCGACGGGCACAAAAAAAAGTTACATGTCAGTATTGGACGGCGACAAATGCTGAGAATTGCACAAAGAAGCACAGATAGCGTGCACGCTGGGAATCACACCCATATATACAAAGAATGGGCAGGGATCGGGGAACATGCGAGTTACATTGTTGACAAACAATCACGTGTGCAGTGGCCGGACATGTCGCTCTAAGGGACGATGGCCGCAACTAAAAAGGATGGAATCGCAATCAAAAAAGGAGAGAAAACGTTTCTGCTATCGACGGCTCTCAGCACACTGGCTCAACAAGCGGCGATCCCGGGCGCGAGATAAAAACACGTGGTGGGAACCAGAGGGCTGGTGTGGAAAACGGTGCGACACATCGGAATCTGATCAGGAAATTAATCAATAGCAACACTCAGAGCCACTCTTGGCCTTAGTTCGTTAAAAAAAATAAACATTGTGGGCAGCAGGCTACGAGACCCATCAACCGAAGGATTTTATTTTATCCAAATGAAAAAAAAAACTAATTTGTTTCGATTGAAAACTCATTTCTTTATAAATGCTTTAGGTGTTCAGTTTGCTGTCCTTCCCCCGTACCTCCAATAAGCACGGTGTGAAAGGTCAACACATACATACGACAAAAAATCCACACGACTACGGGGGATTAACACGCCGACTCCAAATATGCAGTCGTCACAGGGTCGGGATTTAAACCATGACCACCTGCATATCAGACGAGGGAATCAACATTGCACCACTGCTGCAGCCCCCCTATCCAAATTATTACTTCCCCTCCCTATAGATTCCCCTCTCGGCTCTCACGCTTTGGAAACGTGCGTTTACGTTCATTTGTTTTCGGCGACGCGAATCAAAACGGCAACGTGGGCTACGTGTCAAAAGGTCATGTTTATGTTTCGTCAGCAGCATTATGGCGGAAAGTTGTTACATAATGTTTAACAAACACAAATCAGAAAGTCGGGCATGACTGGACCACAATCAATGTGCGATGCAACAATTGCGCGAGCAAGCCGCTGTCTTTCCAGCACCGGCCATTTCAGTGGTTGCAGGAAATGGGTAAAATATTTTAAACCCTTGAATTAAACAAGTTTGAAAGCTGTAAATCCGCCATCTAGAGAAAGGACGCCATGGTGCGTGTATATATATCTGTGTGTGGGTGTATGTATTGTGTCAGCACAAGCAGTGCATCTGCCAGTCAACTCAGCCGGTCAACCCCACGGCACCTGGGTCTGTGCCGTGACGTCTTTGCGAGCGACACTTCGCACGACGGCCTCAAGATGCACCTAGCCTGGCACAAGCGGCGTGGCGACGGCACCACCGCCCGACGGCAAACGGCGACATTGGTTAACGTAGACGAGTTATCGGATTTCACAAAAATTTATGAAACGAAAATCGGACTTCGAGAACGATCGTTTGAGGGCGCTTTACTTTACAAAACGCAATTTATTACCGTCATTGCTTCGGACCTCGCTCATAAAAGCGGGGATGTCGGGAGCGGCCACGCAAGCGGAAACTCACGGAGCGGCGTGCAAGTGAGGCGACGTGTCCTTGGTGCCCAGGTACCAGGTGCAGCGGCTGGGCAGCGCCGGCGAGATCCAAGCGCGCTCCCCCGCCACCTCCGCCTCGCCGTTCTGGGGGAACGGCGGCGGCGTGTCCGGCGCCAGCGCGAGCTTTGCGACGCCCACGGAGAGCTGCCCCGCGGGGGAGTAGGGGCAGCCATTGGCCTCCTTGGCCTTCTCCTGCTCCTTCACTGGGGTCGGCGTCATCCTTCTGTGCATGGAGGGGGGGGGGGGTTGGTGGGTTTAGAGGGTAACACGGATGACAGAATCAGCACATCGCCGACACCAATTTCAAACCCGCCACCCCCCCCCTCCTCCCCCCGAAACCCTTTTCTTAAATACAAGCGTGCGTTTGAAGAAACTAGCGGCTCAAGCGGACCCCCCCCCCACCTCCCTCCCACCCACATTTGCGTTAAAATGCAAAACAACATCTCACAAAAAAATCGAAAGCGATGTAAAGTCCCTCGGCCATTCCACTGCCGGACAAAGGGCTCGGACGACGCCGACCAGTCACGGAGTGTCGTTTGACCATACTTCACCGCGCTGGTCGGTGCAGGTTGGTGACATATAGCGGGCGAGGAAGGGGTGGGGGGGGGTGCGTGGAACAGCGGAGGTAACATCACTCGCGGCGGCTAAAGGGTCGGTAGAGGCCCCAGAACCAAGGAATTTCTCGAGTGTTTTGCAATCGCCGCAGCGCAGGCCTTATTAGGAGCTCGCTTCGACCTCCGAATGAACGAACACAATTCGCCCCGCTATTATTTGGCGATTAGGTCGAGCGCCGGGGGGGGTGGGGAGAAAGGAAACGTCACCGACCCGCGAGTAGTTCACAGCAGCCGGAATGTTCTCCCCCCTCACCCCACCTCCCCCTGGGGGGCGGACGGAGCGGGGGGGGGGGGGTCCGACCTGCGTCAGAGAGAGGCCCCCCCCGCCAACTCACCCCCTCCCAGAGCTGGAGGGACGCGGCAGCAATTGCAAAACACTCAAGGAATTCCTTCACCTCCCTCTCCCCCCGTATCACCAAAACCTCACAAACCCATGGGCACTCTTTTACGAAGAAAAAAATGCGAGCACAGTGAACAGCCACTGCCCCTGTCGGGTGCCCAGACAGGGATCGGGGTGGGACATTCCGCACCACCGAGAATAATAATAATCTGTTGATAAAAAAAAACGGGACATGCATAGTTTTGGCAAGTAGCCGGGCCGGTAGGTATGGCCGTGCCTACGCTGAGACTGTCCCCCACCACCACCACCAGCAGCAGCAGCAGAATCGGAATCTTTATTTTTAGAGACTGGAGGTTGTAATCCGATGAGCTATCAAACTCTTTTTCAATGGATGTTCCCGTAGGGGGTGTTGGGAGAAGAGGGGAGGGGGGGGGTGAGTCAGCGAGTGACAACAACACGATATTTTTAAACAAAAAACAACCGACCTAACGACGACCAAGGATTAAAAAAGTAGTAAAGTCGCTACTAAATAAAGAGTAGAAATTGCAACAAGCGCCGTAAAACACAACTGTCTGCCGATTATGTATTCGGACCGCAATAAAACGTCCACGTGATAAGCCACTTTTTGTTTCGCCAGATAAGTTGTGGCCAGATCGATTCCGAAAGAGAGCTACACACAGCTCAGCGGGTACCTGAACTGGGGACATAAGAATAACTTGGTTAACGTTGAGGGCGTATCACGGCGACCTCTCTCCGTTATTACACGTCATCTGCCGTTTCGTTCTCCCTTTTTGAAATCCACTTTGTATTCAGGAGTTCTAAATAAAAAAAAATGTCCAATAAAAAAAATTCTCCCACAGCCACTCATCCGCTTCCACAGCGCTAACGAAATGCGTCCGAAGACAACCGCGTGTTTGCGAATCGCCACCCGCCGCGTATATATGTCCGTGTGGTATAAAAGTATGTTTTCACTCTACTCACAGCGAGTTGGGCCATCTCCCACCCGCGCCCCGCGTTCCACTTTGCCAAATTCAAGTTTGGCTGCGGAACAAAAAAAATGTTTGCCCTGCTGCTGTTGTTGTTCGAGCTCTGCTCTTTTGCCGCTTGCCGCAGTTCACCGCAGTTCATTGACCGCGCGTCAAACCGTGCGGATTATCGCGGACTCGTCGTTCTAGAACTTACCATCGGATTCGCAAAGTGGAGAACAAAATATCGTTTTAAATTAAAACACACAAACGCATCATTGGCGTGCCGGTTATAAACAAGCAAGCCTGCGAGCAAAGTAACGCGCGTTAACGGCGCGCTTGGGTCGTGCGTTGTTGGAAGGGTTCACAGTTATATGTTGAATTTCGATTTAAAGCTTTCGTGACTGCAGGGATTCATATTCTTGGTTCTTTCGGTAAAGTCACGTTGAAGGGAAACAATAAAATAATAAAATATATATAAAACAATAAAAATGCTGTCATCAGGTGATGACGACCGTTTGTGTTATGGTCGAAACGTCGTGAGAATTTTTATTGTTTTATATATATTTTATTATTTTATTGTTTCCCTTCAACGTGACTTTACCGAAAGAGATAAGAATATGACTTACTGCAGTCACGAAAGCTTTAAATCAAAATTTAACCAAGAATATAGTGATACGTTGTTGGAGGGAGGTCGGGCAAACGAGCCGAGTAGTAGGGTCAATTTCAAAAACTAGTTTGATATCTTTAGCATGCACTGCCAGATTATCCTAGTAGCAAAAGTAGCTACATATGCTACAGGCCTCGCACTAGCTTCATCTGGCAGCGGAGTGCAGGCCGTGCTGCAAGGTAGCCAGGAAATGGCAGCACAGCAACGTATTCTCGAATCCATCTGTGCGGAGCTTTGAGTGCCGTCCCGTCGTACACACGCGATAAGTTCTCTCCGCTCTCCCTCGCACACGAAGCTAAACTCTCATTTGTTTAGGGATTGGCCAGACATCCCAATCAATGTTGTTTCCGTGAGCTTGCGTTGACGTCTTACCCGGACGGTGGGTTCGCGTGCAGCCGGTTTTGCCGGCTATTTTTACACGGGAGATGCGCGGTGCTGCTGCTGCTGCTGCATGATCATAGCAACAACAGACAAAACTTCAACATTGCAGAGAAGTAGTATAGCAAGGTCCTTTATGGGATATTGCGCATCAAACGTTATTGGCACTCTCCGACGAGACTCTCTCCTGGGTAAATCAATGGCACGGATATTTTATTTTGCTCGAATGTATTACGGCACTGCGTTCAGCCCACGACATTACCTCGAATGACCCTCAAGCATCACTCGGCGGGCAAAGCCTGGGGGGTGGGAGGTGTGGGATGGAGGGGGGTCACGGAATAATGCCGAGGTCACGGAAACACGATAGGCCGAGACACGTCACCGGCCTGCCCCGAGGTGCACACAAAACAGGCACGCGCGCGATGGTGACGAGCAGGGAGGGAGGGGAGGGGAAGGAGGGGAGGGGAGAAGGGAGGGGAAGGAGTGAGGGGAAGGAGGGAGGGGAAGGAGGGAGGGGAGTTATTCTGCGTGCAGTTAGTGAGACACAGTTAGTGAGACACAGTTAGTGTGACACACAGTGAGACACAGTTAGTGTGACACACAGTGAGACACAGTTAGTGTGACACACAGTGAGACACAGTTAGTGTGACACACAGTGAGACACAGTTAGTGTGACACACAGTGAGACACAGTTAGTGTGACACACAGTGAGACACAGTTAGTGAGACACAGTGACACACAGTTAGTGAGACACAGTTAGTGTGACACACAGTGTGACACAGTTAGTGTGACACACAGTGACACAGTGAGACAGTTAGTGTGACACAGTTAGTGAGACACACAGTGACACAGTTAGTGAAACACAGTGACACAGTTAGTGAAACACAGTGACACAGTTAGTGAAACACAGTTAGTGTGACACAGTTAGTGTGACAGTTAGTGAGACACACAGTGACACAGTGAGACACAGTGACACACAGTGAGACACAGTGACACACAGTGAGACACAGTGAGACACAGTGCGTGACACACAGTGAGACAGTTAGTGTGACACACAGTGAGACAGCTAGTGTGACACAGTTAGTGACACACAGTGACACAGTTAGTGAGACACAGTGTGACACAGTTAGTGAGACACACAGTGACACACAGTGAGACAGTTAGTGTGACACAGTTAGTGAAACAGTGACACACAGTTAGTGACACACAGTTAGTGAGACACAGTTAGTGTGACACAGTTAGTGTGACACAGTTAGTGAGACACAGTTAGTGAGACACACAGTGACACACAGTGAGACACAGTGAGTGACACACAGTGAGACACAGTTAGTGTGACACAGTTAGTGAGACACAGTGACACAGTTAGTGAGACACAGTGACACACAGTTAATGTGACACAGTGTGACACAGTTAGTGAGACACACAGTGACACAGTGAGACAGTTAGTGTGACACAGTTAGTGAGACACACAGTGACACAGTTAGTGAAACACAGTTAGTGTGACACAGTTAGTGTGACACAGTTAGTGTGACAGTTAGTGAGACACACAGTGACACACAGTGAGACACAGTGACACACAGTGAGACACAGTGCGTGACACACAGTGAGACACAGTTAGTGAGACACAGTGACACACAGTTAGTGAGACACAGTGCCACACAGTTAGTGAGACACACAGTGACACACAGTTGGTGAGACACACAGTTAGTGAGCCACACAGTGACACACAGTGAGACACAGTGACACTCAGTTAGTGTGACACAGTGACACTTAGTTAGTGTGACACAGTGACACTCAGTTAGTGAGACACACAGTTAGTGAGACACAGTGACACACAGTTAGTGAGACACAGTTAGTGAGACACAGTTAGTGAGACACACAGTTAGTGAGACACACAGTTAGTGAGACACAGTGACACACAGTTAGTGAGACACAGTGACACACAGTTAGTGAGACACAGTTAGTGAGACACACAGTGACACACAGTGAGACACACAGTGACACACAGTTAGTGAGACACAGTGAGACACAGTTAGTGTGACACAGTAACACACAGTGAGACACACAGTTAGTGTGACACAGTGACACAGTGAGACACAGTGACACACAGTTAGTGTGACACACAGTGACACACAGTTAGTGAGACACACAGTTAGTGAGGCACAGTGACACACAGTTAGTGAGACACACAGTGAGACACAGTGACACACACAGTGAGACACAGTGACACACACAGTGAGACACAGTTAGTGAGAC